CTCTCCCCTCTCCCCCTTTCTCTACACACACACACACACACACACATTTAATTCTGAGGCTCCATCATTATTTTTTCTGCTCCCAATAAACCAGAAGTAAGTAAACAGGGAAATCAAGTTTTCATCAGTGAACAATTCTTCTCATGGGTTCTGGGTGCATCTTGCACATAATGAAGCAGCTGAATTTTCTGAGGGCTTATCTACAATAGGCTTTGTAACTCATCTCCTCTGTTCTTGCCCTAGAGCAGCACATTCCACTGACTCAGTCTCTGTACTGCCTAAGTATGCAATATTTTCGGCCTTATTATTTTATAGTCATGCACTCCTGATGTTCAAGCTAGTCAATAGATATATTTATTGAGGACTTGCTGTGGATTGTTTGGCTAAAATTTGCCTTCCTAAAAACAAGCTGGTAGAAGAGTCAGAAAGCACATACAAATTGTACAAGCACATATGCAACCAATAAATTTATATTTAATCAACAATGTCTTGAGTTCAGGCTTATGTACACAGCGAAAAGTGTTTCTAGAGTGACTGGAGTCAGGTGTCACTAATTCCTGGAAGTGGGGATAATACTGTATGCAATGACTTGGTAGTAGAAAGAGGGTCATGTATATTCCTTCTCAGGAAGACTTAAGTTCAAATGCACACTCAGACACTTATTAGCTGTGTGACCCTAGGCAAGTCACTGAACCCTGTTTGCCCTCAGTCTCCTCATCTTTAAAATGAGCTGGAGAGGGAAATGGCAAACCACTCCAGTATCTTTCCCAAGAAAACTCCAAACAGGGTCATGAAGGATTGGACACAATTGAAAGGACTGAACAACAACAACAAATGCACCACAGACCCTTCAACTTTGAAGGTAGTAGTATTCCAGGTATGTCTTCCATATACCCACACTGGTAAAAAACTGTTTGCATGGAAAAGATGGACATTTGCTTTCACACAAAGCATGGAGTCAGTTAAAGTGTTGTGCAAATTTCCCAAAAGCAAATCATCCAGTTTCTTCCACCTTTTCAACTCCTGGCCCACTCAACTGTACATCTGTACTGTCTGTTCCTAACAGACAGACGTAGGTCTACAGAGTATTTATTCTGATGCATGATGAAATCTGGGCAATAGACACGGTTCCTCCACTTGGTCTTTTTTATGTAAATGATCAGGCCAAATTCCTTTGCGTGATTACAGATTTCTTTCAGGAAGCTCTGCAATATCATGGGGCTTAATGCAGTGAACACAAACAGGAGTTTCTAGAGGACCTTTCTCTCCACTGAGAATTTCTCCTTAATTAAGATCTACAACCATCCTTTAAAGTTCAACCTAAATCTTTTCTCTTCCATGCGGTTTTCTCTGTCCCTCATGCCCTGGTTCTCATATATTTGCTTTGTGCCTCTCCAATTTATGCAATATGTAGGCGACAAGACACTTATCTGTATCTATGATCAGAGCAGCTTCTATTAAATCGAGATAATAAGCTCTGACGGCAGGGACCGTGTCTTATCTAAACTTTCTTTCCCAGCACTGCCCATAGTATGCTGAATGAATGACAAGACTGAACCATTTTTAAAGATCTCTGCCAAGAAAACCCCAAATGGGGTCATGAAAGGTTGGACATGACTGAACAACAACTGAACAAAAAAATGCGTAAGATGGAAGGACTAAATGACTTCTAAGGCACATTCGAACTCTTTAACTATGTGAATCATTCTCAAGTTGAGGTTCTAGCTTCTTAAGTTTGAAATGTGTATGATTCAACTAAAATGATGGTGAGGGGGAAGGTTTTGGCAAAACTTGTGTTTTTCCTCTTTTCTATTTTTAAAGAGAAATTAACTTACCTCATTTACCCCCCCTCCAAAAAAACAACACTTCACCATAAGGTAAATAAACCCAAACACTCAAATTCAAAAAGCACTCATATTTTCAAAGAAAGACATAAAATGGTTCAAACTAAAAGTTTTCAGGGAAGGGGTTATCAGAATATTTGCTGTGATTTTTTTTAAAGCACTCAAAATAAGGCAACAAGGCAGCCAGGTGGCACTATAAATAGTGCAATGAGGAGTCAGGAAGACTCATCTTTCTGAGTTAAATCTGGCCTCAGACATTTACTTGCTGTGTGACCTTGGGCAAGTCACTTAACCCTGTCTGCCTTGGCTTCCTCATCTGTAAAATGAACTGAAGAAGGAAACGGCAAACCACTCCAGCATCTTTGCTAAGAAAACCCCAAATGGGGTCAGGAAGAGTGAGACAGGACTGGAACAACTGAAGGTGAAAATAAGGCAACAATGAATTATAATTCAGTAGAGATAAAACTTAATCTTCACTGCTAAAGAAACTATCAGGACCAAGGGTTATTTATTTACTCAAGCGAATAAAACAATCACTTCTTGGTGTTAGCACTGTGATCTTTTAATAATAGTTCACTGTAAACGTGTATCCTTTTTTATAGCATCGAACATGCAGAAGATACTCATCCCCAAGGTCAGTGGCATGAGACAAGCATAGCTTTGACTATGACAGTCAACTATTAGAACAGCTCGAGTACACTTTGAGAATACAGAGCACAATGTCCTTCCTATTTACATAAACACAGGTTATCTGAGAACAGACTCAGCTCTCTTTAAATAGACAAAACCCACCACATTCATTGGGACAACCTCCTAAATTACAGAAATGCTCAGATTCAATTTTGCCGGCTTTATTTTCACCTGCCAGCCTACGAATGACTGACAGGTATCCCCCAGTTTCAAATTCCTACACGTCCAGCTTGGTCCAAGTCTGTGTGCAGCCTCGCTGTTAGGAAGAACAGATACCTGTGAAAAGGCTCTCCTCTCCTGACTCTCCTTCACCGAAACGGGGGGCAAAAAAAAAAAAAAAAAAAAAAAAAAAGGACTGTTAATGGCTTATGGTAGCCCTGCTGGGCAAGGAATGGAATAACAATAATGAAATACCCAAAAGAGAAAAAGGATATTTTGGAAATAGGATGGATTATAATTTAGCTGCCAATCTCAGCTATTTATTTTTGCTGGAATTTTATTTGGTTGCTAGAGAATTTACAGAGACAGGTATATAAAACAGGGTCACAGGCATGGCCAGGACAGTATGTCTACACTGCAGGGATTCTTGAACTTTTTTCACACACCCCCAAAATCCTAAGATTTATAATCTTTATAAAGTTGCCTACAGCACTAGAAAGTTAAGTGAATTTCCCAGAATCCCCAAGTTAGTCTGGGTCACTGGACTTAAACCTAGGATTTACTGACTCTGGAGTTGGTTCTCTATACACAGTGTGGCCTAATGTTTCCACGGTACCACAAAGATTTACCCCAAATAAGTCCTTCCCCTCTCCACTGGATAAAATAAGACTTTAAATCCACAGCCATAGTTTTGCTAAAGAGAACAAAAAGGGGGTGGCGGTAGATAGAATTCTCAGAGACATTTACCACATCTTCCAAACAGAACCTTTTTAATGTATTATTGGGAGGTTTAAGCAGCAGACACTTAAAAAGGCAAATTAGGACGGCAAGTGGTTTTCTGAAAGGCAGTCGTGACTAAGAGCTCAGGATGGAAAGAATGTGATGGTTATTAAAAGCAACACTAGAGGCGTTCTCCTAGTTCCTTGTAGGCTTTAGTCCTGATTACAAACAACCTTCAGGAGGTCTGCTTACACAGGGTGCTCATTTATGGTCAAATCATTCTCACAGCTGTTAACCCTATCACCTAGTTCATGAATCAAGGAAATCAGCTAAGTAATGAATGCACTAGTTGAAGCCTAGCTACAGGGTGGGCAGGGATGAAAAAAAGCAAATTGGCAGAGAAAAAGCAATAGATCAAAAATCTGCCACACTGGGACTTATGGCTCATTGGAAACCATGCCTTGGAATCTGGAAGATAACATCCATGGGGGCTAGTTGTAGAGACACAGTAAATTGATTGTGTATGTCAAAACAAAGCTCACCATAAACGTCTTATAAGAAGCATCTTCCTATAGTGTTAAAGATGGACAGGCTCCTACAGCCAGGCTGGATCTCACACAAAGTATAGAAGATGACTATCTTGCTGTATAGCCTCTGCCACACCATTCACCATATATTCCTTTCAGACCAAGTTTCCATGCTCTTCCTCAGTCATTACAGCAAATCTATTGTCAATATTATACATGTTGTATTTGCTGTTTTGGCATGATGGCTGCAATCTCTTGTCCTACCACATGAACCAGGCAAATAATTGACACTTCTGTTCCAGAATTACAGACCAAACCTCTCCCACTCATTTTATCCCTGGGAGAGGGATTTTTCAGACTAAGACTGGAAGGTCTCTGAGGCAGATCAGGAGAAGCTACCCTAGTTTTAAGTCCTTGTATGGAACAATCTGTAACATTCTGCAGCTTTCTAAATTGTAAAGGTTTCAATTTCCAAAAGCTGACATTTAAATTGTACTCTCTATCTTCCAGAGAAAAAAATAACAGAATCCATGAAGTCTGGTGGGTGCAAGCAGAATTCAGAGAAATTTTCTTAAGAATCTAGCCCAAATTTTCGGTTTTCTAAATAGTACTAATTTAGCTGTACCCTAAAAGAAAATGAACATAATATTCTCAAGTATGTGGAGGAGAGGCTATTGCAGGCAATAAAGAAAAACAGTTCTGCCGGTTTTCTGCCAATACTTTTTCCTTCTCCATTCTTCCATGAAATAAAGATTATGAACAGCAGCTATCAGTAATTATTGATAAACTTGACAGGTACTTTCATGAAAAGAATAAGAAGTTCACAAAGAAGCTGAATGTTTACAGCTCAGTTCTAAGAACACTTAAGACATGATCAGAAACAGTACTACAACAGTATAATCATCCGTCACATCACTCAGAAGTTAAGTTTTGTACAACTTCTCCAACTTTGTCAGAAGAGGAACAATTTGTAGGCGGTGGAAAATGAGTCTTAGTTCAGGGAATGCTTCCTCCCTTCCCTATCACCTAAAATACCCTATCATAATGTATTTGCTCTTACCTGCACATTTTCTTCAGTGACTTGGATTTCAGCAGTGTAAACATAGTCGATGAGCATCCTCAACGTCCAGCCATCCACTTCTTTTATTCGAATTCTCTTCGCTCGGCTTTCACTCATCTCACCTATAACATAAGCCCAGTGTTACAACAACTTGCATTGTAAACAGACATCAATACCACAAAATGGCTGTTGAGTCTACTACCGTGGACATCCCTTAAGTAACCAAGTGGTGGCTGCTCCACATGCACAATGAGTTGGTCTCTATGAATTGCTATGGCCAGAAAAGGTGGTCAGCATCTCTGTACTCAGCTATGCTGGTTCTTGGACAAGAGATATGATAGGGGCTATACCTGAAGCCCTTCAAGACTGTAGACCCTATCAGGGCTTGTATTCTACCAGCACAGCCTTTGAGAGCTCACGGTCAGCGTAAGAGTACAATAAAATTTTAGTGGAGAAATGGTAAATTTCCCTGCAGAGAAGCAATGTAGCTGGTCTGGGGATATTCTGATCATTACAGACCCTGAATAAAAATGACCCTCCCACATCCATCTGGGAAAGGCAACTAGTAGAGCCAAAAGCTACAAAACACCCAGAGAAGAGAAAAAACACAGAAATTACATATTGCTCCCTTGGCTGCCTTCTTGAGGGTCAAAATTTGGGAAAAGAGAGACATTTAAGAGAAACCACCTGAGGAGTTTAATATAGCCATTTTATTTAACAGCTTTTGAAGGCTGATAAATAGAAAAGCAATGCTGTTAATTACCAAGCACCAATTCATTAATGGACAGGTACTAAACAAACAAAATCATGTCATTTGGTTGTTATCATTCATTCAATGATTATGTACAAGTCTCTCCAATGGAATGTAAGCTCCCTGAGGACAATTTTTGCCTTTGTAACCATAGTACTAGGCACATAGTAAGTGCTTAATAAATGCTTACTGGTGACTGATGGACTTAAGCACTTACACAGTCTATCAGGTACTATTGTTTTAATCCCCACTGGGAAGGAAAGGTCTGCATACGTGAGGCAATTAGAGAACAGAGGTAATAAACTGCTATTCGAATAGACACAGTAAATATATATATATAAACTGTACTACAGAAATGAGAATACACAGTAAAGTGTCAGATCAGAACAAAGTAGGGTAAACCATGGAATGAATGTTAGGGAAGGTCTGTGAGTAGCATTTGTTAAGTACTCACTATGTTCCAGGCACTAAGCTAAGTGCTAGGGATACAAAGAAAGACAAAAGAGAGTCAATGTGCTCAAGGAGCTCACAGTCTAATGGGGGAGACAATAAGTAAACAACCATGCACAAAAAAGATCCATTTCTCTGCTTCCGGCAATTTTATCTAGATGTCCCTCATGCCTGGAACACTCTCCTTGCTCCACTGACTACTGACCTCCCTGGTTTTCTTTAAGTCCCAGCTAAAATCCCACCTTCTACAGGAAGGTGGGATTCCCTAACCCCTCTTAATTCCAATGTCTTTCCTCTGTTAATTATTTCCTATTTGTCCTGTACATAGCTTGCTTGGCATGTGTATCTGTTTGCATGTTGTCTCTGCATGTAAACTCTGTGAGGGCCGGGACTGTATTTTTTCCTCTTTTTGTATCCCCAGCGCTTAGTAGGCATTTCATATAAATGGTTACTGATTGAATGAATGAAGCTATATACAGGAAAAACTGGGGGCAATCTCAACTTGAAGGCACTAAAAGGAAGACTGGGAAAGCCTTCTTATAGAAAATAGAACTTTAGATGACACTTGAAGGAAGCCAAGGAAGAAACTAGGAAGTGAAGATGAGAAGGGAGGACATTCCAGACACAGCCAGTGAAAATGCCACGAGTTGGGAGATGGGTGTGGATCACACATAATATGGGGTAGGGAGAGTCAGGTGTAAGAAGATTGGAGATGAAGGGCTTTAAAAGACAAAAAAAAAAAAAATTGTATTTTATCCTGGAGGTTGTAAAACACTTTCTCACTTGCAGACTACATAATAATGTCTCCATGCTCCTACATTTTATTGAAGGAAAATGAAGAGGAAGGCATTTTCACATCTCATTCCTTAAACGTTATTCTGTAGAACACTCATGATACAAACAGGAGTTTCATGTGGAAATGTCTATGCAAACAACATTATCTTTCTAACTTAGGGATGTACAAGTATTTTCAGGAAAGAATCATGTATATGATCAGAAGTCTGGGGGGGGGTGTGGGGGGGTACTGGTAGGGGGCAGGGGAAGTGGGGATCACAAACTTAATTACCTATCACAGAAACACAAAATCTGAAAGCTGGAGGAAAACTCAGCAGATTCCTAGTAAAATTCTAGAATAGATCACTCAAAAGATGATGGTGAGTAGGGAAACAATGATTACAAAGATGTAGTCTGGCTTCACCGAGAACAGGTCATGCCTGACTAAACCTCATTTCCATTTCTGTGACTACATTACTAAACTAGTAGATGAAGAGAAAGCTGTGGATACAGTTCACCTAGATTTTAGCAAAACTTTTGATAAAGTATTTCACGCTATTCGTGAAGAGATGATAGAGAGATATGATGATGGTTTCAGAACTAGGTGGCTATTCTAACTCAAAGAAGAGTTCAATGTCAGGTTTCCAGTGCAGTACCCCAGAGATCCATGCTTGGCCTTATGCTCTTAATTTTTTATCAATGACTTGGATAAAGACATAGGTGACATGTTCATCACATCTGCTCCTATCCTAGATATCCTTTTTGTTTTTCAGTGGGGAAGAGTGCACAGCATAAGATAAACAGGCAAAAATGGGTTGTGATTATTACTTTTGTCCCCCAAATCCACATCTTTTCCAAATATCTCTATTTTGCTCAAAGGCACGACTAGCCTTCAAGTTACCCAGGTTCAAAGCTCAACGTCACCCTTGACTCATTGCTCTCACTCAGTTACCAAGTCTTGTTGATTATCCCTCCACATCTCTCACATCTGTTCCCTTCTCTCCATTCACATGGCCCTCATCACTATTGCAATGGCATGCTAACTGGTCTCCCTGCCACCAGGCTCTCCCTTCTTGAAGTCATCTTTCACACAGCCACCAAAATGACTTTCCTAAAGGGCACATCCAACTTTGTCACTTCCCTACTCAACAGATTCAAGTCTAGGTTCAAATATCATTTCATCTTAACCACCTGAATTTAATTTCTCTTTTTTTGTGTAAGTTTTGCAATGTGAATCATTTTAGTACAGTAGGAAACGTATGAAATTTATAAATAAACATACACATCTGGGGGGGTGTTAAAAAATCTGGACTGACAGAAATATGCAATTAAAAAAGTTTAGATATATCATTGATAGAGCGCCAGGCTTGTGGAGAGGAAGACTTGGGTTCAAATGCTCCGTCAGATACTTACTAGATGGGTGACTTTGGACAAATCATTTAATCTCTCTGGGACTCAATTTCTTCATCTGTCAAAATGGCCTCTAAGGTTCCTTCTAGCTTCAATTCTATGATCCTATGCATACATAAGTTTAGGATAAATAATCACTGGGTCAGATTTGTGAGAAGCTGGGGAGAGAAAATGTCAATACGAAAACCAAAAGGAGAATCTGTGAAAATAAGTCAGGAATTCACTTATGGAAATTATGCTAGTTTAAGTGAAAGTTAAAGGCCTAAAAATCACTGATTTGGGATTTATTATGACACAACCACAAAAGACTTGGAATAAAAATAAGGGCACAAATAACTGCTTTCATCTTAATCCTGCTCCTCCAGTAGAAAAATGTCAGGCTGTCCTCAAGATTTCTTGAAAGCTCATTTCATTTTCTGATGTAGTGCACCATCAGCTGCAGTAAACTCTCAGCAACGTCTATGGGAATCCATCATTACACAAAATTCCATTGCCAAACACAAACTCAGGGAGGGGAGAAGCTGATAATGCTGATGTGCATTTAACTGCATGCCTCCCTGGAGACTGGCTGACAAGATCTCAGAGAGGAGCTGTTCTTCTAAGAACTTAAGTGCATTAAATGTACCCTGCCACTTCCCTAGAAAAATCAAAGGTGTTTCTATGTGCATTACAGCAGAAGAGGTAGGGGAGTTAATAAAGAAAACGAAGCCATAATATCATATGTAGGAAAGGGGGATGAGATTAATGTGTGTTTTGCAATAGCAAATAGAAAGGGAGGGAAAGAGAGAGAGAGAGAGAAGAGAAGAGAAGAGAAGAGAAGAGACAAGGCAAGACGAGATGAGAGGAGAGGGAGAAAACAAGAAAAAGAAAGACAGCAAGAAAGCAAAAGAGCAAGAAAAAAAGGAGGGAGAGGCAGGAAAGAAAGCAAGAGAAAGAAGAAAGGAAGGAAAGAAGAAAGCAAGAGAAAGAGGGAAGAAAAAGAAAGAAAAAAGAGAAAAGAAGGAAGAAAGAGAAGGGAGAGAGAATGAACAAGAAGATCAAAGAACAAGCAGAAATAGCTCTTTGTCTGGATAAAAGCTATTTTTCTCTAGCCCTCCTAAAAAGGGGGCCTCTGGAAGATTTTTGGTAGTCAGGTTTTTACATGAGCTGGGGGTTTCCTTTACTTCAGAAACCAGGATTCAGTGCTGGGCTTTTCATTGGGATATTCCTGGAGAGGGGCCACACCCAAATCAACAATTTACTGTGTCCCTAATATAGATAGATATACATATATAAGTACATATGCATATATACATACATAACATAGGAATATATTATGTGTTTGTGTGTATGACATGTGTTTGTACACATACACAAGTTGCCCTAGAAGTCTAAGTCTTGTGGGACATGCTATATCTATGTAAGCACTGGGCAAGTACAATAGTACAGCAAGGAATCTCTACCCTCTGGGTACTCCTACTCTAGCGGTTCTGGGTATTAATTTTTTAAGACCAAACCTGTGACTTCATTGGTACAGAGAAATCAAAGTAAGGAACCTCCCTCTATCAAAGCAGCAGCTGCCCTACAACCTAACAGTCTTAGGGATTTGCCTGCAGACACTAAGAGCCAAAGGTCACAGAGCAAGTATGTTTCAGAGATAGAATGTAAGAAGTGCTCCCTCTGCACCATGACAAGCTGCTTTACCCTATGCTCCCAATACTACTCTAATTGGTATTTATAAAACACTTAAGATGTCCC